TTTTTCCCTTTTTGTACAAAAAGTTTTAAAGATGATGAAATACCAGGATGTGGTTTTTCTTCTAAAAACCATCACAGTGAGACCATGCCCACAATGTCACTACAGTGGGAAGATTTTGAACTTGTTTGCATAAGGATGAATATTTAGGATAGATTTTATCGAAGCTAATTTAAGGATGTATGGAGCTGGTAAGAAAGAAAGGCATTCTAAATGTTGGATGAAAGAGGAAGGTGAATTTCCTCGTTACCCATGAAATTTGAAGTATTCCTTTCCTTTGGATAAAAGGGTGTCTTCACCATCCTTTTTCTTCCCTATTTAAAGAGGCTTTGAGTTTCATTGAAAAGCATCCAAAGTCGAGCAGATTTCTCTTTAAGTCTCATTTTTGGTTTTAGTCTTTAAGCATTTAATTTCTTGTATTAAGCTTCCCCAGTTGTAATTTCTGCCCACAGTCACACAACTGTCGAGACAGATTCTTGTTTCATCTTCATGAAAGTATTGTTTAATTCTTTACTCTTTTCTTCTATTATGTTCTCTGATACGCACTAAGTATTTAGTGCTTAAAATACTCTTTTATTCTCTTTTAGATAGGTTATTTTCTATTTATATCCCAACTTTGAGTCATTTTATCTATTTTCTCTATTTTTATGCTAATAAGAATGATGAACCTGTTTTTGTTGGATTTTGGTCTAAATTGAACTTATTTTGGATAGGTTGAAGCTGGTTGATGTTGCAGGAATGTGGCAGCATGACCTGATGGTGGAGAAATAGATGGAAAAGACTTGGAGTTGACTGACAAGACCATAGGCTGACTTTTGAAAGACATGTTAAATTTGGGTAGTTGTGTTATTTTAAGATTAGCTGGAACTTGTTAAGCTAATGTAGTTACTTTATAACTATTAGTTTACTTTATTATACTTTTAGTTGCTTTAGAACTAGTTTTGTGTGAAATGTCTAAAATACCCTCATCTCATCTCTAGTATAAATAGAGATGTGGGTTTAGTTGTAGAAGTATCCCTTGTATCTCTTTCACTTTTTCTCTCAAGTAGGTTGTCTTACTACTTGAAGAACAAGTTTCTCTTTAATTCTCAAGTAATCTTTTGGCTAGATTTAGAGTTCTCTTTAATCGCTTTCTTTATTTTCTCGTTCTTAATATTCCGTCATTTATTTATGTACGCTTACTTGCATTTTATTTACGTCATTTATTTATTACGCTTTCCGCATTTTATATTATGTCATTTAAATTCTGTTATTTATATTCCGTATTTATTTTATGTCTTCATATATTGCTATTTATATTTCTTGTCATTTACTTTTCGTTATGAGTAGCTAATTTTATTAGCTCGGGTATATGACGAAAATGATGTGTTTGTAAATCAAATATGGTCGACTCTTTCAAGTTTTATAAAACCAATGACACTTTTTGACGAGTTGATCACTGAAAAGTGTTAAAGTGCCATGGACTCTAAGCTGAGCCATTGATTGCACGTCAATTTGGATGATATGGGAAGTAGACTTCTAAGAGTTGCTAATAAAGATATTTGTTATCCGTATTTTCTAAATTGTTAATTCTCGACAGGTTGATCACTTTGAACTGTTAAAGTGGAATGGACTCAGAGATGAGCCATTCAGAACACGTCAACGTGAATGATATGGGAATCCACTCGAGAGGGTGATTTTTAACAAAGAGATTTGTTTATCCATATATTTTGAAGACACCATTTGTCACTTTCACTGGTCTGAATACCTCATAGAGATATGGGTTGAAAGTTATAATATCAGTGCATTGGTGAAGTCCGAGAGGAATACGTTCAAAGTAATTGGTAAAAATAGTTGTCACTGATTGTATGTTGTAGCAAATTGCCATCATGGTCTCATGCTGTAGCATTTTGACAGCATTGGTCTACTGGAAATAGTATTTACATCTCACCCGAAGAGTCATACACCCTAGCTTGCTTTTATTATCTGTTATCTCTTGTTAATTTTTAGTTGTGTTAGCTCAGATCAAATCAAAGTCTTCGAATTCGCCTTCTGAAATCATTTCCTTAACTTTACTTTCTTCTAAACTTTTACTACGATCCCTGTGGACGATATCCGGTACTTTTATCACTTTTATTACTTGAAAGACGATATTATGACTAATTGTATACTTTCTTTTGGTCCTGATTGTACTATGTGGTTTGTCAATACGCCAACGGTCAAGTTTTTGGTACCGCTGCCGGGAATTTGTTGGTTAAAAGTTTTCTTTTTAGTGAAGTAAAAGATTTGATTTTTCTAAATCCGTTTTGAAAGTGGTGTATGTCAAGGAGACATTGCGGGGAAATTTTTGAATTGGATCTCGATATTGAGAGAATGTTTCACCAAAGAAGGAGGGCTCAAAGAGCATTTTTTGCTCTACTCTCTCCTAACATGGAGTTACCTCCCCCAATCATCCCTGAGATCCCACATTTGGAAAATCAACCGCCTGTCTTTGCGCCAATACCATCTTTTCTGAATTTTTCGCAAGGACAACCACATCATAATAATCATAATGAGGACACAAAGTCAGAAAATAATGAACAACCAAGAGAGCAAACTCCGAACATCATTAATTTGGCAAATTCCAAAAATGGAAGAATCATGGACTATGTCATCCCTGATTTTTAACAATTAAATTATGGGATAGTTAGGCCACATATGACCGCTCTATATTTCGAACTAAAACTGATTATGTTTCACATGTTGCAAACAAACGGACAGTTTGCCGGATTACCTTCGGAGGACCCACACTCACATTTGAAATCCTTTATGGAAATCATTGATGCTTTTCTGATCCCGGGAGTCTCTAATGACGCTCTGAGACTCACTTTCCTGATCCCAGGAGTGTCTAATGATGCTCTATTTTCTTTGAGGGATCGGGCAAATGCATGGTTTAATTCATTACCGCCGGGGTCTGTGCCTTCATGGAGTAATATGGCAAAAAAAAAAATTGTGAAAATATTTCCCACCAATTACGAATGCTAAGTCCAGGAATGAAATTTTCCTTTTTAAACAAATGGATGATGAAGCTGTTCTTGACACTTGGGAAAGGTTCAAGGAGTTGTTAAGGAGATGCCCACACCATGGCATTCCATATTGTATTCAACTTGAGACGTTTTACAATGGGTTAAATCCCATGGCAAAACAAATGCTCGATGCGACTGTAGGCGGAGCCTTCACAGCCATGACCTATAATGAAGGATATGAGATCCTTGAAAAAATTTCTCCTAATAATGGACATTGGGCTGATCCACGTGCCCAACCGCAAAAGAAGACAGCAGGAATACATGATGTAGATGCATATAATGCATTAACAGCACAACTCTCTTCTATGGCCAATATGCTTAAAAATATAACTTTTGGCCAATTAGTGCAGTCAGCTGTTACATCACCTATTCCAGCAGTCCTCTCAGTGCAATGTGTCTGTTGTAGAGGGGAACACTCTTATGAACTATGTCCACATAATGTTGAATCTGTGAATTATGTTCATAATAGATCGAATCCTTACATTAACACATAAAATGCTAGTTGGATACAGCACCCAAATTTTTCATGGAATAGTTCAAGTTTGAATCCACCATCCATAAACAACAAGGAAACCCTACTTTTCAACAACAGCAACATGCAAACAGTTCAAACTCTCAAAATCACCATCACTAGAATTTTCAAAGTAATCAACCACCTTTTCAGACCAAACCACCTCCACAGTCCGAATCATCATCTTCTTTGGAAGCTATGATAAAAGGACTGGTGGCTCAGTCCCAAGCACAACAGCAAATGATGACTCAAAATCAATCTATGTTCAATCAACAAAGTGCTGCCATCAGAAACCTGGAAACGCAAGTCAGTCAACTTGCTCTCAATCAAAACAATAGAGCCCTTGGTACTTTACCTAGTAACACAGAAGTCCCTATAGATCTAGGAAAAGAACATGTGAAAGTAGTGACTCTTAGGAGTGGAAAGGAATTAACAGAGACCATACCAAAAGAAAGTGAACAGGTTGTGTCTAAACCTGAGACTATACATATGGTCGCTGTTACTGAAAGTCCACCAAAACCTCTGAATAACCAACCACCCGAGACCACCATTCTTATTCCTCCCAAGTCGGACTATCCTTTGTTATTCCCAGAAAAAGTTGCTAGGAAAGAGCCAATTGAGGATGAGGTTATAACAGGTCCAAAAACCAAGGTTGTAATCCCATCTGAACCTCAAGAAAGTAAGACCAAGACTCTAGTCACTCTGGACCCATCCTGCTTAACACAGCCAAACAAAGTTATCATAAAGCCAGTTCCCCTTTATGTTCCTTTTCCGCAAAGGTTAAGGAATCAAAAAGAAGAACTACAATTCAAGAAGTTTTTGGAAGTGTTTAAAGCATTGCACATCAACATACCTCTTGTTGAAGCAATTGAGCAAATGCCCACTTATGCCAAGTTCCTTAAAGACATTTTGAGTAAGAAAAAGAAGCTAACTGAATATGAGACCGTAGCTCTTACCGAATAATGAAGTGCTCTTCTAACCAACAAAATACCTCCTAAGCTTAAAGACCCAGAAAGTTTCACTATTCCTTGTTCTATAGGTGGGAAGGAGATTGGTAAAGCCTTGTGTGATTTAGGTCCTAGTATCAACCTTATGCTCTTGTCTGTTTTCAACACCTTAGGCATAGGAGAGGCTAGACCCACCACTGTCACCTTGTAGTTGGCCAATAGAACCATTGCTATCTGAAAGGTAAGATTGAGGATGTCTTAGTTCAGGTTGACAAATTCATATTTTCGGCTGACTTCATCATCCTGGATTTTGAGGCTGACAAGGATATTCCCATCATCTTAGGAAGACCTTTCTTAGCCACTGGTGGAACTTTGATTGATGTCCAAAAAGGAGAGCTAACTATGAGGCTTCAAGACCAGAAAGTCACATTTAATGTCTTCAATTCCTTAAAGTACCCTGATTACTTGGAGGAATGCTCAGGAGTTACTGAGATATAGACAATGTGCCATGAGGAAGGAGTTAGAAAGGCCTGTAAGATAGAGGAAGAGGAAAGTGTTGAGATAGTTGATGAGACTATTAAGGATTTAGAAGGTGATGCCCCATCTGATGCTGCAGCATTTGAGTTGCTGGATAATAGTGAGCTTAAGAGTTTTACCCCGTCCATAATTTCACCACCTAATCTGGAGTTAAAAGTAACTCCCATCTCATTTGAAGTATGCATTTCTAGGAGAAGAAGGTAAATTACCTGTCATCATATCATCTACCCTAGACTTATGTCAAGAAAAGAAGCTTATAGATATGTTGAAGTTGCACACAAAAGCTATTGGATGGACCATTGCTGACCTTAAGGGGATTAGTCCTTCTATTTGTCAACATAAAATCATCCTAGATGAAAAGAACTTCAAATCTATAGAGCCTCAAAAAAGATTGAACCCTGTCATGAAAGAAGTAGTGAAGAAGGAAATTTTGAAATGGCTAGATGCAAGAATAATTTTTCCAATAGCCGGTAGTTCTTGGGTTAGTCCAATCCAGTGTGTCCCAAAGAAGGGAGGGTTTACAGTTGTCACCAATGACAAAATTGAACTCATCCCCACAAGAATAGTATCTGGATGGAGGATATGCATAGACTATCGTAGGCTAAACAAAGCCACTCAAAAGGACCATTTTCCCTTACCTTTTTATTGATCAGATGTTAGATAGGTTGGCTGGAAAAGAGTATTACTGTTTCTTGGATGGATACTCCGGATATAACCAAATAGCCATATCACCCGAGGACAAAGAAAAAACCACCTTCACATATCCCTATGGTACTTTTGCCTTTAGGAGAATGTCATTTGGACTTTGCAATGCTCCTGCAACTTTTCAAACATATATGATGTCCATATTCTCTGACATGCTTGAAAAATCCATGGATTTCTTTATGGATGATTTTTCAGTTTATGGCTCATCTTTTGATAATTGTTTGGAAAATTTTAAAAGGAGTTTTGAAAGATGTGAAGAGACTGATCTGGTTCTTAACTGGGAAAAATGTCATTTCATGGTCAAAGAAGGAATTGTTTTAGGCCATTTAATTTCCAAAAGAGGAGTTGAGGTAGACAAAACTAAACTTGAAATCATTGAAAAACTACCTGAACCAACTACTGTTAAGGGAATACGAAGTTTTCTTGGTCATGCTGGGTTTTATAGAAGGTTTATAAAAGACTTTTCAAAAATTTCAAAACCTTTGTGTTTAACTTTTGCAGCATGACCAAAAATTTGATTTTACGGATGAATGTAGAAATGCATTCAACACTTTAAAGAAAGCTTTAGTCATCGCACCGATAGTTGTTGCTCCTGACTGGAACAAACCTTTTGAGATCATGTGTGATGCCAGTGATTGGGCTTTTGGAGCTATCTTAGGTCAAAGAAAGGAAAAAGTTTTTCATTCAATCTATTATGCAAGTAAGTCCTTGAATGAAGCACAACTTAACTACACAACAACTGAAAAAGAACTATTAGCTGTGGTTTTTGCTTTTGAGAGATATAGATCATATTTGATGGGAACAAAGGTCATTGTTCACACAGACCATGCTGCCATCAAGTACTTGATTTCTAAAAAAGATGCTAAACCTAGGTTAATAAGATGGGTTCTGTTGTTGCAAGAGTTTGACCTTGAGATAGTTGATAGGAAAGGAGTAGGCAACCAAGTTGTTGACCATTTGTCAAGATTAGAGAAGCCTAGGGAGAACCTAGAAGAAGGAGAGATTGTTGAAACATTCCCCGATGAGAGAATTCTAGTTTTAGAATCAAAACCACCATGGTTTGCTGACATAGCAAACTATTTGGCTTGTGGAATAAGACCATCTTATATTTCTGGCCATATGTTCAAAAAGTTTCTCCATGGTACTAAAACTTACCTTTGGGATGACCCTTACTTGTTTAAGATAAGTGCAGATCAAATCTTAAGAAGATGCATCCTTGAAACTAAAGTGGCAGCAATTCTGCACCATTACCACCAAGCAGCATATGGAGGACATTTTGGAGGCCAAAGAACAGCTGCTAAAGTATTACAATCTGGTTTTTATTGGCCTATTCTCTTCAAAGATGCCCAGAATTTTACATAAAGATACAATGAGTGCCAAAGAAGTGGTTCCATTTCCAAAAGGAATAAAATGCAACTTAATGGAATCTTAGAAGTAGAGTTTTTTTATGTTTGGGGATAGATTTCATGGGACCATTCCCCATCAAATCATTGTCAATACATTCAAGTTGTTGTTGATTACGTGTCTAAATGGGTAGAGGCCATGGCTTGTGTTAATAATGATGCCAAGACTGTGGTTAAATTTCTTCAAAAACAGATTTTTACAAGGTTTGGTACCCCAAGAGCACTAATTAGTGATGAGGGTACCCACTTTGTAAATAATCTGTTAAGTGGAATTCTTGAAAAGTACAACATTAACCACATAATAGCAAATGCCTACCACCTGCAAACCAATGGATTAGCCAAGCTTTCAAACCGAGAAATAAAAGGAATTTTAGAAAAGGTTGTCAAGCCAAACCGAAAGGATTGGGCTTTCAAGTTTGATGACGCTTTATGGGCATACCGGACTGCTTTTAAAACACCTATTGTTATGTCTCCATATAAGCTGGTTTTTGGTAACGCTTGTCACCTTCCTTTAGAACTTGAACACAAAACATTTTGGGCCATCAAGGAATTAAATATGTGCCCAGATATGGCTGCCAGTAAAAGAAAAGTCCAACTGTGTGAATAATAGGAACATAGGAATCTGTCCTATGAAAATGCCAAAATTTATAAAGATAAAACCAAGAAATGGCATGATAAAAGAATTCAGCACAGGAAATTGAGAGCTGGTCAGAAAGCTCTTTTGTTCAACTCTAGGTTAAAACTGTTCCCAGGAAAATTCAAGTCCCGTTGCTCTAGACCATTCCTAATTCATAAAGTTTATCCGTATGGAGCAGTTGACCTAGTCAATCCCAAGGACAATTCGGTGTTCAAAGTTAACGGTCAAATAGTGAAGTTATTTTATGATCCGGTAGAAATTTCAGAGTTATGCTCTGTGAATTTTGTTACCCTTTGCTAAAAGCTTTGGTTTTGGACTTTTTATAAGTCCAAATTGTTCATTTGTAAATAATTAGTCTGCGTTAATTTCTGGTTTTAATAAGTGTTATTCTTATTTTTAATGGTATCGTTATTTATTGTGTGTTTTGCAGTTTTATCAATCATCAAGAAAAGTTGGAAGCCTTGTTGTAGCAAATGGAAAACCCTAGCCTTTGATGGAAAGTTTTTAATTTTTGAAATCTGAAAATTTTGAGAAGGAGAAAAAGTATGATGTCATTCTCAAAAATAATTTTTTAAGGAAAAGGGTCCTCCTTTATTTGCCAACAAAGAGATTTTACAAGGTGTAAGAAAAAGGACTAAATTGTCATTGAGAGGACATCTTGTTACCAACTTTTCAAACATCTCCCTATATTGTCAAGATAACTTATCCTCCCAATGTGACTAATGTTGAAACCACCTGGTTGAAAAGGAAAGGAGACCTCCATCAAGTACACTCATTTCTTTTTGCATGCTCCCAATGCTTACATCACTAGACACCACCATCTTCCTATTCTACCCCTTGTCTTAAGAAAAACCCATTTGTATTCCAAGAAACCCATTTTTTCTCTCTTCCCTCCCAAACCAACTGCCTCATCCGATCGATAACTGCTCTCTCCCTACCGGCCAACGTTCGAAAAAAAATGGCGAGGATGAAGAGGGCAATGGTACGCGACCCTCCTCCGCCGCAAGCATCCGAAACACCATCAGTGCAACCGCCTAACCCACCACCGCCGGTGAGGAGAGGAAATAATCCCCCCATTCCAAAGAGGAAGGGCGAGTCATCCGCAGTCCTTATCGATGAAGACTCGCCATCGCCACCACCGTCGCCGCCTCTGCCGCCACCGTCCACTGTCGCCATCGACACCATTCCAAAAGAAATACCTATCGCCGCTCCCCCTCTACAAATGGTACCATCTTCTGCCATTATTTCATATGTCGACCATTTCAAGAAATCAAAGGAGAAAGCATCCACTGTTCCTACTACAAAAGAAGCCCCAACTTCATCTATGGCCACCAAAAGCAGGGAGATGCCCGATAATGCTCCAAAGGTACACTCTTCCTCTGATAATGCTCCCCCTGATGGTCTATTCACCTCTGATTCTGAAGAGGATGAAGACCTTGCCCCTAAGGCACAGACAGGGGAAATTTGAATGGAAAATGAGGCATGCAACTTGGAGAATATTGTTATTATTGAAAATCCTAGAAAAACTCTCCTCTTGACTGCCTCTAGACAAGAAACAGAGGAAGAGGATGATATTCCTCACTACACTCCTCATGACCCCATTCCATACCTCAATGAGGAATTCTTTGAGGAGGAAGATGAGGAACCCCCTATTGTGGTTGCACCTAAAAAAAGAAGGAGGTTGGTTAAGGCTTGTGCCAAAAAGTCAAAAACAGTAGTTGATGAGGAACCTCCTAGGAAAAGTACCAGGTCTCAAAGAGTTGTGGTTGAATCACCTAGGAACTCAGAGAGTGATGCTGTAGCATCACCACAGCATTCACCCAAGCCCAAGAGGAAAAAGGTGGTTATGGCCCAAAGGCCAGCCACCATTCCAAGACCAATCAGACCTCACAATGGATTTAGTTCCAAGGCCGCTGAGAAGATGCATTCTAGATTTCAAAATAGGGTGGGATTTACAGATAAAGGTTTTGACAGACAGAGTGTGAGAGAGTTTGCATTTATTAGAGAAGTAGTGAAAGCCCATGGGATAGAGCAGATGTGTATGGTCCCAACCTCCTATAACTTGACTTTGATAAGAGAGTTTTATGTTGAGGTGGCTACCAATAGTACATCCAAATTCATGCTTAGGGGGATGTATTTCACTTTCAATTCTAAAGCCATCAATAGGCTTTATGGCTTGAACCCCCTAAGAAAACAGAATATTCAAAGATGCTGAGGAATGCAACAGTAGAGGATTTGGCATTGGTGGCAGATGAGATAGGAAAGCCCGGGCCTAGTTGGGATGAGCATTCGAATTACATGCTTAGGACTTTTAAGGCCTACAACCTTACGACCAATGCTAATGTATGGATTAATTTTCTGAGGCACTACATTGCCCCTACCACTCATGATAGCTATGTATCAGTGGAAATGATGTTGTTGCTTTATTGCTTGGTTACAAGAAAGTCCATCAACTTCGAGAGAGTGATTGAGAAGAGCATTGGAACATGCTCAGGAAGGAACCAGGGGAAGATTTACTTCCCCTGTATGATCACAAGGTTGTTGGTTGAGAATTGTATTCCTCAATACTGTGAGGATCAGATGATAAAGGAGCAGGGGGAGAAGTGGAAGATAGATATGAATACGGTGTCTAGGTTAAGAGAAAAGAAAGACAAAGGAAATGGGGCTAGTGACATGTAGTGTCTCATGCAAGACCTGCTGGCCCAAAACAGCAGCTTGATGGACAGTTTGTTGGAGCAAAGGAATGAGTTCTTTGACAAGATAGATAGGTTGAAGGGAGAATTGGCTGAGAAAGTAAAGGCAGCCGAGAAGAAGACTAGGGGAGACATCAAGTTGGTGAAGGCTGAGCTAGAGGCAAAGTCAAGTGCTCAAATCAAAAAGTTGGGCAAGAAGTTGAAGGCTTTGAAGGAAGAAAATGCAAGGTTGTTTGGTGAGAATGCAAGATTGAAGTTGGAGTGCAAGAGGTTGAAGGACCACATATCCACTTCACCTACTCCTTTGGAGTAGGTGATATGTGTTTAGAATTCAACACATAATACATTTGTTTACGTCTTTTTAGTCAAAATTAGTTTCCTTTCATTTCCACTTTGAGTCATTTTGATTTATTTCTTTATACTTTTATTATGGAGCTAAAAAATTATGGTTTAACTTGTTGGGACTCAAAGATACAAGCTAATGGAGAAGTTTTTGATAAACAGCAAGATACTACAGCATTGGAGCAGCAGCGATCTGATGCATGCGCAGCTTTTTGGAGAACTTATTGATTAAGCTGTTTCCTTTTTTAGCTTTATGGAAGACAGCTGGAAATTGCTGGAATCTGAGATTAAAACTCTTGTTAGGAATATGTACTTTCTAGTTCCTTTAATTGTACATTGTAACTAGTTTTAGGAAGCTTAGCCTCCAAGATTTGTCTTTTTGTCTTTTAGTGCCTCCTTTGGGTATAAAAGGAGGGCTTGGGGTTCCATTTTCATCATCCATTTTTATCCATAAAAAACATTAGCTAGTGTTGAAATCAACCCTCTCCAAGGGTGATTTTTAGTAATCTCTTGAGTTCTTCACCTTTTTCTTCTTTAATATTATCGTCTTTTATTTTCTGCTCTTTATTTTACGTTCCTTTACGATTATTGTCATTTACATTCCGTTATTTAATTTCCGCAATTTACATTCTCGTCATTTACATTTCCGTCATTTATTTTCTCGTTATTTACTTTACGCAATTTACGTTTATGTCTTTATTTTCCGTTAGTTATTTTTTACTTTCCGTTATGAGTAGCTAAGCTTTTATAGCTTGGGTGTGGATGGAAATGTGAGATTTTCAAACCGAACAAAAGTAGCTAAGTGTTTTCGTAAACGACGTTCCATTGTTTCATTCAAGTTTTTATAAAACCAAGCACACTTCTTGACGGGTTGATCACTTGAAAGTGTTAAAGTGCGATGGACTTAGAAATAAGCCATTAATAAGCACGTTAACTTGGATGACATAAGAGGTAGACTTGAGAAAGTTGCCGACAAGGAGACTTGTCATTTATGTTTTTCAAAACTTAGCTCCCGATGGGTTGGTCACTCTTCAAAAGTGTCAAAGTGTGATAGATTCAGAGATGAACTATCAAGAACACACCAACTCGAATGATATGGGAATCGACTCGAGAGAGTGATTTTTAACAAATAGATTTGTTTATCCATATATTTTGAAAATATCATCGTGTCACTATCCCCGGTCCGGACACTGCATAGAGATATGGGTGGAAAGCTATAAGATAGTGCAATGGTGAAGTCCGAGAGGAATGCCGTCAAAATAGATGGTGGAACTTAGTTTCGAAACACTGCTTGCTGTAGCATTCCTATAGCATTGGCTGCTGGAATTTGTGTTTGGGTCTCAMCTTAAGTCTTACACCCTTGCTTCTTTTATATATTCTGTATTCTGTTTGGATTCACCTTAAAATCAAACAAAAGTCTTCAAAATCGTCATCTGAAATCATCTCTTTCATTGAAATCTAATCTAACTTTGGCTACAATCTCTGTGGACGATAATCCGGTATTTGTACCACTTTATTACTTGGAAAGACGACGTTGAGCCGTACTGTATACTTGCTTTGTGGCCCAACTTTATTAAGTCTAAAGGTGTGAAATATAACCGACCAGTAGGACAGGTTCCATCATTCCCTCTTTAGCTTCTTTTGTTATTTTATTTCAACTTGTTTTGATTTACTTGAGTCTGGGATTGTCTTTTACACTTTTAGTTTATTTTCTTGCAAGAAACACTTATGTTCATCATTGTCATATGCATGTATAACCAAAATAATTCTTGTAGTCTAGCTACACTTTTTAATCAATTGGTATCACTAGAACTAGCTTGTTTTGCTTGGGATAACACTTTGATCCACATCATATGCTCAACTAAGAAAGGATGTAGGCCCTTTGTTCTTTTCTCATATTCTAGCCACTTGTAGCCATTGCATAAACAGCCCCCTATATACTTCCAATTAGGACATTGAAAAATCTGAGTTTGGGGGAGGGTACCAACATGGTTATATTGATCAAAGCAAATGCAAAAGATCACAAAGTGCCAAAAGTGGAAATCAAAATGCACAAAGTGCACAAAGCTTACATGTCATATTTGGACAGCTGTGTTATTTTAAGATTAGCTGGTACTTGTTAAACTAATGTAGTTACTTTATAACTATTAGTTTACTTTATTGTACTTTTAGTTGCTTTAGGACTAGTTTTGTGTGAAATGTTTAAAATACCCTCATCTCATTTCTAGTATAAATAGAGATGTTGGGTTTAGTTGTAGAAGTATCCTTTGTATCTCTTTCACTTTTTCTCTCAAGTAGGTTGTCTTACTACTTGAAGAACAAGTTTCTCTTTAATTCTCGAGTAATCTTTTGGCTAGATTTCGAGTTCTCTTTAATCGCTTTCTTTATTTTAATGATTTTAATATTCCATCATTTATTTATTTATGCTTACTTGCATTTTATTTACGTCATTTATTTATTACGCTTTCCGCATTTTATATTCTGTCATTTAAATTCCGTTATTATATTCCGTATTTATTTTATGTCTTTATTTATTGCTATTTATATTTCTTGTCATTTACTTTTCGTCATGAGTAGCTAATTTTATTAGCTCAGGTGTATGACGAAATGATGTGTTTGTAAATCAAATATGGTCGACCCTTTTATGTAACAATGATGTTTTACTATTTCATTTCAAGTTTTATAAAACCAATGACACTTCTTGACGAGTTGATCATTGAAAAGTGTTAAAGTGTCATGGACTCTAAGCTGAGCCATTGATTGCACGTCAATTTGGATGATATGGGAAGTAAACTTGAGAGAGTTGATAACAAAGAGATTCCAGCCTAGTGGTAAAGGCTTGGGCATGGCATAGTCATGAACTCGAGTTCGAGCCCTGGGAGAGGAGTGTTGGCGACATTTAAGTGGGGCCATGTTTAGCCTCCAAAATTGCCGGGGATTAGTCGGACTTTGGCCCGGACACTCTTACAAAAAAAAAAAGAGATTTGTTATCCGTATTTTCTAAATTGTTAGTTTTCGATAGGTTGATCACTTTGAAGTGTTAAAGTGGAATGGACTCAGAGATGAGCCATTCAGAATACGTCAACTTGAATGATATGGGAATCCACTCGAGATAGTGATTTTTAACAAAGAGATTTGTTTATCCATATATTTTGAAGACACCATTTGTCACTTTCACTGGTTTGGATACCTCATAGAGATATGGGTTGAAAGCTATAATATCAGTGCATTAGTGAAGTACGAGAGGAATACCTTCAAAGTAATTAGTAAAAATACTTGTCACTGATTGTATGTTGTAGCAAATTGCCAGCATGGTCTCATGCTATAGCATTTTGACAGCATTGGTCTACTAGAAATAGTATTTACATCTCATCCGAAGAGTCATACACCCTAGCTTGCTTTTATTATCTGTTATCTTCTGTTAATTTTTAGT